GGCCCCAGATATGTTTTTAATGTGGAGCTTAAAGGATTTATAATTGATCGCAGAGTGTGAAAGGAAGAGGAATTGAGGATGACTCCAGGGTTTTTGGTCTGAGCCTAGTAGGATGGAATTACCATTTACTGAGATGGATAGGGAGTGAGGTGGGGTGGGAGAAGATGGAGAAGTAGTTTGTTTTTTGATGTGCTAAGTTTCTTACACATCTAAGAGGAAATGTCAAATAGGCAGTTAGACAAAGGAGTTCAAGCAAGAGGGCTGGGGCTGGAGATAGGAATGCTGGATTCAGCAGCAGATGGATGGCATTTACAGCCAGAAGGTTTTACATCCAGCACTGGCCTAGACTGCAGCTGTGTTCTTTGGACAACTCACTTAACCTATGACTATTTGCTCTGCTGAAAATACACATCCTACCTACCTAAAATAACGAGGACAAAGGAGCAATCAATGTGAAAATGCCTTGTAATGTGTTGTTTGGATTGGAAAGCAGCATAAATTTGATAGTACTGGAGATAAAGGAAATCAGTTTTGGGACCTAGGGAAATAATTTTCATGCGCCGAGAATTAGAGACACTACGAAATAAAAGAAGGGGCAAGTAGCAATTATCCTTTTTGTACTGCGTAATCAATGTGTGTAAAATTAACATTTTTAAATTTACATATCACCCGCAATTTACCTAGAGCATCACATACATGATCTCTTCGACCTACACAACGGTCTTGTGAGGACGGAATTATTATCGTCCCCATTTTACGGAGGAGGAAAGTGAGCTCAGAGAAAGTGAGTTGCTGGCCTGGGGGGACAGCAATAGTGGGGGACAGAGCCATACAAGCATCCAGGTGTCCTGGCTCCGACTCAAACCTAAATACGAAAAGACCATTCCTTAGCCCCACCGTCCGCCGCGAAGACAAAAAGCCACAGTAGAGCCGCGCCAGCTTCCACGGCTCTGTGAGTCACCCTCTACCCCCACATTCCATTTTCGGTGGTACAGCCCTTTTCTCCTATCGCGAGACTGAAGCGTTGTGTTTCTGGTTGCCCGGGGAACAGCGTTCCCAGAGGCAGGAGGAGGGCTTGGGACTGGCAGTTTCTTCCACCTCCACAGAGGCTCGATGGCGGGAAAGACCCCTTCCCTTTAGGGAGAAGTGGGTGACGCTGCGACTGTCAGCGGCGCGCTTCTGCACCCGTCAGAGCTCTGACGACTGGCCGCTAGCTTCCCGAGGCCCTGCCTGGAAGGTGAGAGACAGCACAGGTGAGGGGCGGAGCTCCATCGCCGCGCGATTCGCCAGTGAGAGGGCGGGGCGGTGTCGTGTCAGGCTGCTTGGTGCGAAGACTGGCTGTCAGGGAGAGCGGGCAGGGCCAATGAGAGGGCGGGTCCTATTTTGGGGGCGGGCCCATAAGGGGCGGGGCCAGGTCGGGAAGAAAACGCGCAAGTCTGAACCCTGGGGCCTACTGCCTCTGCGAAGGCTCTTTCGCTTTGGATATCCTGGACGAAGGCCTCCCACGTTCCTGACATTATTAGGTTTGGTACCGAGGACTCCTATCTTCCCGTGCCTTCCAGCCGCTAAGTTCTAGAAAGAATCATCAGTCATTTAAACTAGACTTAAACTGCAAAGGATACAGATAGGCATTTCATGGGAAAAAAAACAATGGCCGGTAAACATTTGACTAGAGACTCAACTTTTCTCGTAAAGAAATATAAATCAAACCTACATATACCTTTTGACACCTATCAGATTGTCGAAGATGAAAAGGCTTTGATGATAACCAGATGGGCCCCAGGCCAGTGTGGGGAAACAGGAAACTTTCATGTCATCATACCCTGTTGGGAGCGGTGTAATTTGGCACAACCTTTTTGGAGGACAATATGGCAGACTACCAAAATTTGAAACGCAAATGTTCTCTGTCTCAGCAATTTTAATTTATCTTATGGATGTATGAGCATAACTAAAGAAAGATTGGTACAAAGATGGTAACTTAAAATTGAGGTATGATTTGCCTAGGGTAAACTTCACCCTTTTAATGTACAGTTCTATGAGTTTTGACAAACGCATACAGTTATGTAATTGCTACCACAATCAAGTTCCAGAACAGTTTCATCTTCCTCTCAGAATCCCCTAGTACTCTTTGTAGTTAACCCCCGTTAGCCCCAGCCCTGGGAACCACTCAAAAGTTTTCTGTTCCTATAGTTTTGCCAATTCCACAATGTCATATTGTTGGAAGCAATCTTCATGTAGGCTTTTGACTCTGACTTCTTTCAACTTAGCATAATGCAGTTGATATTCATCCAAATTCCATGTATTAGTTGTTTGTTCCCTTATATTGCTGAGTAGTAATCCATTGTATGGATTCACTGTAGTTTATCTATTCCCTACTTGAGGGACATTTGGATTGTTTCCAGTTTTTAGCCATTATTAATGAAGCCACTATAAATATTCACGTACAGGTTGTTTTTGTGTGAATGTAAGTTTTCATTTCTTGGGTAAATATCTAGGAATGAGATTGTGGGGTCATATGGTAAGGGTATGTTTAACTTTATAAGAAACTGCCCAGAAGTTTTGAAAAGTGATTGTCTCATTTTCCATTCTCACTGGCAATATATGAGAGTTACAGTTGCTTCCTAACTTTGTCAGCACTTGGTATTGTCAGTTTTTTAGAAAATTAATTTTTGCCACTCAAATAAGGTATAGTGGTATCTCATTATGGTTTTAATTAGAATTTTTCGAAGGAATAATGATGTTGAACATCTTGTCATCTGCTAATTTGCCATGCATACATCATCTTGGGTAATATGGCTGTTCAAATCTTTTGTTTTCTTATTATCGGGTCTTAATACTTCTTTATATATTCTGGATACAAGTCCTTTGTTAGATATATGTTTTGCAAATATTTGCTCCCAGTCCTTGGGTTTTGTTTTCCTTTTCTTAACAATTTCTTTTGAAGAGTATAAGTTTTAAATTTTGATGCATTCCAATTTA